TTAAGTACTGGGGTTATGTCTTTTTTTTGTTTGTCACAGAACCAGTTTCGTAAAACTTATTCACAAAATCAAGCACATGTTACAATGTGACATGTTACAATTTGGATGTATTTCGTTAAAAAGACATGCCGCCCTCCGTGTGCACTTTTCAACTTCTCCATAAATTATAATCATTTCGATTTTATCTTGGAAAATGTAAACCATTTCTACACTTGTATATACTCATTAAAGTAATCACCAAACAGCCCAACAGGTAAAACTATATGCACAATCGTTCAAACTTGCCAACCAATTTTTTGTCTGAAAACAGATACTTTTTACAGCAGAAGTAGCAAAAAGAACGGCTATTCATACACTTTCTGCCACTACCATCTACGTTTTCCTATTAGACTACTGACGCTAATGTTACCCCTAATGAAGGATTGGAACGATACCACCTAATATTCTTACCAGTTCTGGTCAAACCATGCATAGGCGTACTATTAGTTCAGAACGATATTTTCGGAAAATGCTCATCAAAAAATAATAAGTAAGGGTTCAATTGGAAGCAGAAATGAACGCTAATCAAAATGATGTGACACTTGACCCCCCTTCCCATTTAAAATTCTAAGGGTTTCATCTACCCCTCCTAAAGGGTTGAACCACGAGGGCTACAAATATTCCTTGAAAGTGTCCCCTTGATTTAAAATAAGTTCAACAGTATGAGACAGAATGACCGTTTAGAAAACTCTTCGTTGAATAGTTACAAACATCCATTCGTTTCCTGTAAGGCAGTTTTTTTGTAGTATTTTGGTTATCCTTTAGTTGTAAATGATTTTCATCATTTAGAATACCTTGAAACCAGAGCTAAAAAAATCGTAATTCAACACCAGACCGTGCTGTTTTGTCCCAGCATAGGTCTCATCAGTGGTGCTAGGCAGAACCAGGAATGCAATGTTGGGCTCAACTCTTCTTAAAGGACAAGCCTGAATAGGAAACGACGTGGTATCTCTCCTATTACGAAGACGTCATGTAGGAGATCAGCAAAAGTCTGCATCCACGAATATTAAATATGAAGAAGGTTTCGAATACTTGGTTTTTTGACTCTAGTTGCCTTGCAGTGGGAGCTGGAGAGACAGACGGAGGACTACTTTCTTTTGGCGGCCATCTTCGTAAGGGAAGATGCCATCGACGTTTCCTATTACATTATCGTAAATATTAAATTTCGCGTAGCCCTAAACTTCCATAATAACCAAAAAAGTGATATCTAATAGGCCAGTATTTGTCTAAATCTTGCTTTCGAAAGTACTGAGGTAGAAATTGTTTAAGTTAGTTACATATTTGATGTGAAACGAATTACTATTCATATTTCTTCATTGCTAAGGCTAATTTAGTTGAGTAATACCTCAAACCTACCAAAAATAAATCGAAATAATCGTCCAGTCAGATTGAATAATATCAAAACCTAAAATTTTGTGCCAGTTTAGTATCATGGTAGTGATAGAAGTACGGAGTATTTCTACTAGATTATTACTACAAAATTAATACATATCTAATAACAATTAATCATTTTATGAACTATTAAAAAGTCGCTCTTCGACTTCAATACAGCGCCTAAAACGTCTTTAAAAAAGTTAGGCTTTAATCTTTGAAAAGTGCTTGCGTTTTCCTTAAGATTTATTTCCACTTTTCGTAGTTTTTGTCGCTACCATGAAGTTTGCTTCGGGTGAATAAAAAAAGTTCGTACGTGTTACTACCACTCTCGTCTAATTAATTTCGGTCTCTTTCACTTTGATTTGCCATATGACCGACTAGTGCCTGTGTTAGGATTGTCTAGTGATTTGGAGAACCTTTGTATAAGAACATGAGTATGCCACTACTAAGTAGTGGCATAAGCAGATTATCTAATGTCCAACGAATCTAAACTTTTAGTTCCACGCCGTCCATCGATGGTGCAGTACAACTTGTTCTTATTTTTTCAGAGGTATATCACGCTCATCACATTCAGCGCGTCCAACAGTTTCAGGAGGAAGATAATCTAAGTGACAGATCTGCAGAAAAATATATTTTACAAAATTCTTTAGATAGAAACGTGGTTCAAAAAAACTTGGCTTATACACTGAACTCCGGAGTAGAATTGCGACAAGAACTAAGAGAAGTCGACATAAATCTTGGGGAAAACGCAAGCGCTTCTCGAAGATTAAAACGTAGTTTTCACTGTTTTTCTGTTCATAACCTTTCAAAATCCGAAAAATAAACAAAGTTAAACCAATAGAAAATATGCTGAAGTGTAATAAAGGGCAAATTGAAAAGTTCACCCTAAAAAGTTACTGAAAATATAAACCACTGAGGAGTTCATACAGTCAGTAACTTGTCTTATTCATANCTACTGGTATCGGATACGGTTTGATAAAAAATTCGTTGTAATTTTTCAATATTATGGAATGTATTTTTCCGGTAAATCACAAAACAATAACTATAATTACATTTTACATTTCGATCAAATAATAAAAAAAAAGAAAATGAAAATAACTCTTAAAATACCCGAATTGAATTCACAACTGGTAATTGAATTTTTTTAATTTCTACTGGGAATTATATTTATAACTCTTCATTTCTCAGGTGATATGACAGGTTATTCAACATTTGTCAAATTTTTCATTTGTGTGTGTTGTTATTTGTGTAAATGAATAGCATTTCATTTTTAAACCTTATTTTGGCGAGTTATTTTCAAATATTCTTCAATTTATTGTTCGCTTCCATTTTTTTTATTTGAGATATTCTGGAAAAAGCTTTCCGAAAGCTTAAATATATAGTGTTTCTTATATAGTCATTCGATAAACTTTTGACTACCAAATCCAATTAAAAAAAGAAACTGGTTTTTTCAGGTGTACAGTGTGTCTCACTTTCAATGGAAGCATCCCCGTAACTTCCGTAATTATTAAGGTGAAATGATGAAATTCGCAGGATTGATGAAAATGCCGAAAATACACTTACCGGCTAAATGGTGTGGCCCATCGCCCACCATTCGCGATGGAAGAAACCATTTTCACAGTAAATCATACTAGGGGGCAAGATAAACTGAAAATTCCTTCAGATTCGTGATCAGAACCCACAAATTACTTCAGGTGCACGTTTTTCCTGAAAAAATATGAGCTCTGAAAAATTCAAATTTGTCTCACTTTTCATGGGAGCACCCCCTAACTTACCATCTACCTACTCAATAGTGTTGACCCAAGTGCTATACACCGACCACCAGTCGCAATGGAACTGCTGACAACAAACTTTGAAATATAATTCTACGCCAACGAGAAATCTCAATGTTTTAATTAAAATTGAATTTATTTATTACTTCGACGTTTCGAACAGTAAAATGAATTCGTTCATCATAGTAAGATGATTTTAATTCTAAAATGTCATTTGTGTTAACAATCGACTATTTTCCAATGTTCATTCATGTTCCGAAATTATTTTGAAACATTTAACAAAGAACAAGATATTGTCCATATTTGTGTGTTTCACTTTTCATATATTTTTTTTTATAATCACTGACTCTTCAAACGGAAATATCTGTTTTTCATTGAAAGTTTGTCTACTTGGTTATCCAGAAAAATAATTGATGATAGTGTTGTTTCTTGGAGGTCACGCAATGAAATTAGAAAATAACTGCAAAAATAATACAATTTTATAAAGTTAAGAAAACACAATGGCAACCATTCAAAGTCTATTCAACATACTGAAGTTTCAGGGTTGAGAAAAATTCAATATAAAATATATTGAACTGCAAATAATTGAAGACAGTTTTCATGTTTGCCATGTATATAAGTACCACTAATTTCAACAAGACGAAGAAAGGATATAGAAGAAACTCAAAATTCTATATTGATTCGGATTCACAAAATTCAAATAATTGTTCCTTTTATGAGTCCTTCCTCGAAGTTAGAGAACCAAGTGTTTCAGACTACAATACAATAGTCCAATGAGTCATGTAGGCACAGTTCTTAGCAATTCACATGGTAAATATAACTGAATATTAATACTTATTTTCAGTGAAAAATACTCAATGCAATTTTTCAGGAAATTACACTGTTATTATTCACAATTTTCACATAGTCTTCCAGAATAACTATCAAGTTGACGACGCCTATGAACAAAAAGCTCGCAGCCTTGTGTCAACGTCTGAAATGACAGTCTTTGAGCCTTCTGCTCATTGCGCAAAAACGTTTTCATAAATTCAATTTGGAAGAATTTTTGCACTAGCAGGAATATGACCATTAGCAGTCTAGGTTTGAGGTTATGTCGATGGGGGAGACCGAACCACGCAAAAAATCAGTCATTTCCTGTTCTCATAAAATTCAATTTTAAGAAGGGAAGAGGTGTTCCATTGAAAACCAAAATTATTCATTTACTAGTAAAATTTGTAATTGAATAGAACTGGCCGATACTTGATGAAAATTCATGTTAAATACTAATTAATACAGTTTATTCTATGATTTTCACTATGAAGGGTTATAGTGAAAATCATACAATAAACTGTATTAATTAGTTTTTTTAGTACAATTTCCATGAGGTTATTGAACTCTTGAATGAATCAGTAAATGTCCTGCTGCCGTGGTTTATTGACTTGAAACCTATGGAGTGGTAAAACAAATGATTTTGCCTAAGTTCATCAATTTTCAGTAGGCTGAATACGTTTAAACTAAGGAAAGAATTCGGGGACGATTGAACCCGTGACGCACTTGTGGATATTAACTGCACGGGGTTATTTGACCCCGTGTCACACTTGTGGATAATTATGAATTTTTCCATTCGCACTGAACGTGTTAAATAACTCAAATCAATGAAACACTGAAAAAATAAACATAACCTATGTTTAACATTCAGTTATAACGATCAGCTGTTTATCGTTTGATCAGCGCAATCAAAATCAACGTAAAAATTTTTCCTAATAGCTGTCGTCTTGACAAGAAAGTATGTATAGTATATATCTATGTCTTGACATGTCGCCCTCTAGCGCCCTCTGAAGGTCTCTTTGATGACAAACGAAACGTGACAGGTTTGTAGATAAGCGATTTGGTGGATTTGTTTTTGTGGTATTGTGGATTGACGTTTGGTTGTACGGTTGCTAGTATTCAATAGGGCCATTGATTTTCGTGAGTGACTACGCTTTAAAAAAACATATTTTTCAATTAGTTATTACTAATTCATGGTAAGACTTTCATGACAATTTAAACAATGTCATCTCCAAGTGCTGGAAAAAGACGTATGGACACTGATGTTATAAAGCTGTATCCTTTGTTTTATTGAATAATAATGTAAACAAGATGATTCTTTTGTAACAGCTGATTGTTACAACTTTTATTGCTATAGCTTTTCTAACAGGAAATGTCTGTGAACTTATAGTACTGTTTTTTATTTTTTATTTTGAAGAACAGCTGCTTTTTTTGACAAAAATATGTTGGTTTCCTTAATAAATTTTTTTCAGTATTGAAAGTAAGCATGAGGTAACAATTCTTGGTGGACTCAATGAATTTTGTGTTAAGTTTTATGGACCTCGAGGAAGTAAGTATTCGTAACTGTATATATACTTAAGATATCAAATTTTTGTAATATTTATGCTTGATGTTGTAGCACCTTATGAAGGAGGTGTATGGAAAGTACGGGTTCATTTACCAGAACATTATCCATTCAAATCTCCAAGTATAGGATTCATGAACCGTGTATATCATCCAAACATAGACGAGGTGTCAGGTACTGTGTGCTTGGATGTTATTAATCAAGCATGGACTGCATTATATGGTGAGTTTGAATATATAGATTTACTTTCATGATTATAGAAGATTACCAATAATATAAGTTTTAGACTAATCTAATCTATTTCAACTGATCCAACAAGATGTTTGCTTAGTGATTTATACAAATTTTATTTTGTCACTGAAGAAAAATTTCATCTACAGAGAAGACACTTTTGATTCACTATGTTTCTCAAAGTGAAATAGCTTTGAAATGATTTTATCTTGATGAAGTATTGACCTCAAGATCAATATAAAAAGTATAATATAGTTATTGCCCTAGTGGAGAACTCTAATTATCTTCAAATGTTAAGAGTATGAATTTCAGATCTGATGTCACAATAGCTATTATTGCCCAATAAAAGGTATTCACATCTGTTTTTCAGTAAAAAATCAACTAACTGTTATTTTTCATATCAAAAAGATAATACGATCATAAATAAAATGATCAATGTGCTTCAAATTAATCTCTACAAAATACATCCTAATTGCTGAACGAAAATGTTCTTTCCAACTATGGAAACTATGGGCATATTCAGACGATCGAAATTTGATGTGTTAGAAAATCATGGCTTCATTTTAAATATTTTTTGCAGATTTATCGAATATATTCGAATCTTTTCTCCCTCAATTGTTAACTTATCCAAACCCAATTGATCCTTTGAATGGAGATGCTGCAGCCATGTATCTTCATAAACCCGAAGATTATAAGAGAAAGGTCTCTGGTAAGTAGATATTCTCCCTTCAGTATCAAAGCTATTTTTTGTGTTTGTTAATTGTGGTCACCAGATTTTTTTGCTTGACTTTTCGTCTAGAACTGAAGTAGATTGTATCAAACAAGAAGGGGCAACAAATGAAGTGCTCTGGTTGTCCTAACGGCAGATACTATATTAAAGGTTGGAGTCTTCCGTGGCTTCATTTCTATTGGTTAAATGGAATGACCTGTTTTTGTGTTAATTTTCTATTCTTTCCGGTTGTAATTCTTTTTACGTTTTTGAATGTCTAATCAACTCACTATATAGTCTTGGGTAGTAGCTTTGAGTTTTATTGGGCAGTTGGGTCTCTGAAAACAGGATGACATTGGTTCCTTCTCTGAGTGCATGTTCTACTACTGCTGATTTGTCGGTATGCCCCCATGCGACAATTTTTTTTTGTTTTCAGAGAGCCTGGTACTTCCGGTGGGACTCTGTTTTCTATGAATGAATCAATGGTACTGCAATGGACAGTCCATTATGTCCTGTGATAGCAATTTTTTTCATGAAAAAATTTGAACAACATAACTATGTGCTGGCTGTGTAACATTGATGATAGGTCCAATTTCTTTCATATTTGAACTTCTTCAATCTAAAAATTCAATTGACAATGGAATGGGAAACCCTAGGAACAACTGCCATTTTAAGTGTACTAGTGAACAGAAGTGAAGGTGGAACAAATGGTCATAGAATGTACAGGAAACTAACGCACACAGACAATTACTATAATGAAAACTCCAACCACCAGCTGTGACAAAATAGGAGGGGGGGAGTAATTAAAACTTTAGTCGAGAGGGAACTTGACCATGTAAAAAATGCATTGAATGGAAATGTGTCTAGGGCATACCAACAAATTAGCACTTAGAGAAGCTAACCATGTTATTACGTTTGAGACTATGAGGGAGGCGATAGAAATTTAGAAACAAATAATTTCAACTGAAAGGAAGAATAAAGTTCAGGCACCTGAAGTGAATTGCACCCGCATCAGGCCATTCAATTCAGCCAATAAGAACGAAGTCACACCCATCACCAATGAAAACCGGAGACCCAAACGAACAATGTAGTATTTGCTCTGGTAACATTTTGAGCACTTTTTCTGTTACCTCATCAAGTTCACAAATGTCTACCGCAGTCTTAGATGAAACTTCAGGCATGAAACTTGCAGACCACTGCCAACAAACTCTCAAAATAGCCTCAGTCATATCTGGTCGTGAAAGTTCTACACTCTTTGATAAATAGTTGTCTCAGGTCGTGATAATGCCATCTGTAACAGAGGCAGAGCCAGAAATATTTGAAGGGATATGTATTTTGTTTCACCGAGAAATCTTTTTTTGGTTTTTTACTTTCACATTAATTTGTAGAAACATTAAACGTACATAGAAAGAAAGAAAAATATTTTCTAATATCAATAAAAAATCTTTAGAAAAATGTGATCGTCCAGAGAATTTTTTTGAAGTATGAAATATTTGAAAAAAAATTAAGTAGATGATTGATTCTGCGGATGATCTGCACATTAAGAGTATTCATTAATAATTGTGATTTTGCCTTCTCTCTCTTATTTAAAAATTATTAGACATTTATACATTCCTGAGATTATTTAATATTTTTAGATATGTGTTACATTTTTTTCTTCTATTGTTAAGACACATAACCTGTGATATTTTTAATTTAGTTTTTTTCTGTAGATGGATTTCAATTCAAAGGACTTTCATTAAGGTTATTTTGAACTGAATAACTGAGTATTCAAAAAACACTTCATTGTGAGATTTTCAGTAAACAGTTTTACAAAAAACGCAACATGAGTTTTTCGCCATACAATGGCTTCTTCGAGTGTGTCTTCACTAACTGTTAGTAGTAACTAGTTAGTAATGACACGTCCGAAGAAGCCATTGTATGGCGAAACACGTGTTGCGTTTTTTGTAAACCTGTTTAGTGAAAATCTCACAATAAAGTGTTTTTTGAATACGTTTTTCATCAAGTATTGACCAATTCAATCATATAATAACTGAGTAGTAGTAATACTACTGAATGTTAAGTTGGAAAAGTTAATAAAATAAAATAATCATAGAATCAAAATATTTGGTTAAGTTGGTGAGTCCTTACCCATAAAAGATGGGTTTTATATATGTGATGGACATGGCTCATACTTGATCCCTGATATTTGAGTAACACCACTTTATTGTGAAATTTTCACAGAACAGTTTATAAAACCGCAATTTACTATATAATATGCTTCTTCAGTTTCAGTATTGAACAATCCTGAAGAAACTATTGCCTAGTAAAATACATGTTACCGTTTTGTGAACTGTTTAGTTGAAATCTCACAAGTGATAATTTAATTTGATGGTTTTTATTCTCAATTATTCATTTACTTTGCTTTTTTTACCACATTTAAAAAAAGTTATTTTTCAATACTCCTTTATAGAATATGTAAGAAAATATGCCACAGAAGAAGCGTTGCGAGGCCAAGAAAATATTAGTTCAGACAGTGAGTCAAGTATGTCTGATTTTTCTGAGAATGAGGCCGAAGACATGGAGTTATAACGCAGGTTGTCCTCCAGTAATAACATTTCGCTCAATTCAACTTTCTCCTATATAGGTAACATTTTCTGTTTAGAGTTGTATGTGATGTGCTTAAAATGTTATTTACATAATTGTGGTTGTTTTGCTTTCTCATAGTTTACTTTATTGTCAATCTGTCCCAGGGTCCATTAATACCTAATGTTGAGTTGAATTTTTCTGTATGTTATTTTCATATTTAATGTGAATGGAATGGATATTAGCATCGATAATAAAATTTAAACAACCATAGGAGCGTGCATGTATTACAATAGATATCATTAAGAATTAAAAGATCCTTGAAGTACATTGCTGTGTCATTTTTGGTATTCATTCAAGGTTAATTTTTCATATATTGCCAATCATCAGAAAAAATTGTTGGGAAATTTTTGATTAAGGTAGAATATTTTTTATATCGAGGAAATACACAAGATTGGCTACTTTAGCACTGTCGAAAATTGATATTTATTTGTATGCCATATTCAAGGATCACAACAGTTTCATAATAAATAAAGTGATAAACATCATGCATCTCCAAAATAATATTCTGTGATAATGTATAAAACTCAAATATTATTTCTCCCAAGTAAGAGAACAGTCCTGAACAGTCCACAAATTTTGAAGTGACAATTTTACAAAAGTCCCAACTTTTCGCTGTTTATTCGACTTGGAAAAGTTGGGAAATTTTGGGCCGTGAAGATAGAAAAAATAATAGTAGAAAACAGTAAGAACAATATTATTTAAGTGTTGTTTCCTTTCATTTGTATTGAATAATCCTATACATGGTGGATATGGTGGAAGATCATGGACCTTGTTCCAGAGTAGAATAATACCCATTATTATTTTTATAATTACCAAAATTTATTTTTGTTTGTGCATACCCTAAGCATTCAGCCAATCTTTGGATAGCTAAGTAAGAAAATTAATATGTTATAGTAGTAACTAATCCCTCGGCTTTCATTTCTTCGAAAAGTAGTAACTAATCCCTCGGCTTTCATTTCTTCGAAATTTGGGAAATTTTGCTGGTGGGGTTGGGAAAATTTGTATTCCCTTCCCCCCTGGTTTTTCTTTTCGCTACGACCCTGCAGGTGGTGTCTCACAGACTCCAGAGTACTTTACGCACATCTATGTTCTTCAAATTTCACAGTATGACTGAACCGATGGACATACCTACGGATCGATATTATTGGAGAAGCTATAGGCAACCAGACGTACGTGCATGCAGTTTCAGGGATAGTTCGGGCGGTTTGAATTCGTCTGGGGTTTGTTAGACCCCACTAGTGTAATGCCGCGTTAATTGAATAGAGTACTTATGATGCACCGTTTGGAACCTTTGGGGTAGTAATGGATATTACTGGATATTACAACACCAAATCGTTATTTTTAACACCTCGACATGTGTCACTTCGTGATTGAAATACGTGTCGAGNAGCTGTCGTCTTGACAAGAAAGTATGTATAGTATATATCTATGTCTTGACATGTCGCCCTCTAGCGCCCTCTGAAGGTCTCTTTGATGACAAACGAAACGTGACAGGTTTGTAGATAAGCGATTTGGTGGATTTGTTTTTGTGGTATTGTGGATTGACGTTTGGTTGTACGGTTGCTAGTATTCAATAGGGCCATTGATTTTCGTGAGTGACTACGCTTTAAAAAAACATATTTTTCAATTAGTTATTACTAATTCATGGTAAGACTTTCATTTTTTCGAAAGTTGGGAAATTTTGCTGGTGGGGTTGGGAAAATTTGGATTTTCTCCTGCCCCTTGTTTTTCTTTTCGCTACGGCCCTGTTGCCTTGTACCCACAAACAGTATTTCATTCTTCTTTGTTCATCTTCACCGTGTAAAGTGTGAAAAAAAGGTTTGAAGGTATGCATTTTTTGCCTTTTCGAACATCAACAAATTTTACTTCGGCCTATATTGTGTTGAAGTGAAAAAAATTTCCAAAACTTATATGGGGATCAGCACGATATGCTGCCAAAATGGTATCATCACCACTATGATTTTTTTCGAATTTCCTCACCTTCATTACTTGGCCGGTTCTCTTGAACTGGTTGTGAATTTTGAAAACTTTTCCAGAGTGTACAGTGGGTGTTAAATGGGTGTCTTCGATTGAATAACAGGAACAACAAAAACAACAGCAACAAGAACAATAACAAAATTAACACGACTAAGACTCAATTTAATACGCTCTATTAACAATATTGTTGGTTAATATCATTTGTTTTTCACGGCAACGTCAGGATATTCTTTGATTATTATTGTCCGGCACAGCACAACACGGCGCTGTCCGTCGCCTGATGGCGACGTTAGTAGCATCGCCACTTGTCCAGCTACAACCAGCATACTGAAGGTGTTGTTTGTTCGATTTCAAGGGAATGTCAGTTGATATCGAGCTGTGTCTATCACTAGCAGTTCTGACGAAGACGTCGTCATAATAGTGGCCGCATTATTGAATGTAGAAAAAAATAATCACAAAAAAGAAGGATTTGGGTCCATCCCATTAATGAAAAGAGGGCAAAGAAGATGAGGAGAAATTTTTCCAGTATTTCCGAATGACTCCAGGCAAATTTTCAGAACTTCTGGTTGTTCTAGAGCCTGCCTCAATAAGCAACTCAATTTTTCCTCGTCCATTTTCATAGATACCGTCTGACACCGTGCTGTTAACTGATGAAATAGCAAAACAGAGAGATAGAAACTTCCCAGGTACGTTTGGACAAGTTGATGCTGGCAGGCACTGGCCGGCGACGCGTTCACTTGGCCAGTCCGTCACAGCACAAGGCTTTGTCGTGCCGCGCTAATGGGCGGTTGTCCATTCATTTTCATTGTTTCAATCCTATCCGCATTTTGACGGGATGGGCCATGCTGTGCTGTACCGGACAAGTGGGTGACAAACTTTAATAGTACGACTCTGCCGAACTCAAAAAACCTGATTCGGTCCCCAGCGGGGCAGGCACAAAGTATGTGTTCTGCTGTTTCATCATTTTCCAAACAGAGGCGACACACACTGTCTTTCAACAGTCCGAGTCTCTGCAGATGATGATTCAAATGACCTGACCTGTAAGAAGGCCTGTTAGACATCGTAGTTCATCCCTACTGTAGTCCAACAATTGTTGGACTACAGTAGGGATGTTG